TATTTCGTAATTTGGGTAGTTGACGGTGGTTGGCTATTCTGCAATGCTGTTGCTGGAATGACATGTAACTCATTGGTGAGAAATACGAATGGCAGGGCCGGCATCAGCGGTGACGGAACTGATGAAGACAGCAATACATCAATCTCCTGGGCACGAATTAGTGAGTCCCAGGTATAAACTAAAGAAAACATGAGACTATACCTTTATTGCATGCTGCAGAAGACAAATTCCACATGATCTCACTGCGAAAGGCCAGATGGGAATGACTCCATTTTCCCCTGGACCCAGATGCCATTGGTCTGATGGAACATTATTGGTAATTGGATTTTTTTTGCTACAGAACTGACAGGAATTGGAGCAACATATTCTCCACATATCAAGTTCAGTTTGTCCAACTAATGGAGCAGGCATGAGGGGCTGAAAAAAACGTCTAGAGGCTCGCCAGATGGCATCTGACTTTAATACTTTGACAGAAGATTTGGAAAGGGGAACAATGGTGCTATCCGATGAAGGATCAAGATATTTATTGAAAGACTTGTTTACTTGTAACAAGTTACCCAAAGTTTTAGGAGCAGTGAAAGTGAAAATATGATGCCAAATTTCAGCTGGCAGAACAGACCGATTCAAATGCAATTGGCCCTCACTTCTCCAATGGTCCTGTATCTCATCTGGCTTAAGACGTTTGCGCATTTCCTCAAGGACCTTTATATTGTCAACGTGGCCATTTGAACCATCCTCTCTGGATTCTAGATATTTCCGCTTCCTGGAAGTTTCCGGCTGGGAGGACTGCAACATGGGACCATTAGTTTTTTCCGGAAGTTGGGCTTTCGAGTTGGATTGTATGGCCAGGTTATCCAAGGTATCTTCATCCTCATCCTCAGAATCTGCGGACATCGAAACATCTGAGGCTGAGTCGTCGTTCTCAACAATCGAAAAAATATGGCTATTGGATGATCCTGCATCTTGGTTGACGTTTAAAATAGTAGGCTTGGGAGATGTCGCAGTGGATGTGTCTGTAGTAGATATACCTGTACTCCCAGAAGGTATATCGCTGCCTGGAGTATCCATTCTGAACCAAGGTTGATTCCTTGGTTCGTATTTGGAATGTATCAAGTCAAAAGAGAGAATAGGAAATTAACACTTGTCAAACACTTTGCGGATTTGATTTCAAATCGCAATGACCAAGATCAATATACTGATAACTATGCGACCGGATTGGGAGGAACAGAGGTTTGTCGGAAGGGTATCCTATGAGAATTTGGGTCCAAAAGGAAGAATTCCAGTCTCATTCGAGACAGGAGCAAGCTATGGATAAGCTATGCGACCGTCATTTGATAGAAAGGCAGGAATAAAACTTGATGTTACCACAGAAAAGAAATGGAGGTACAGTCGGATATCTTAAACAAAATGATAAAGGGAAAAATGAACCTTTCCTCAAATATGTTGCGCTCCTGATACTTTATCTTATTATAATGGTTCAATTGTAGTGGGTGGGTGGGTGTAAGATAAGTGAAGCATACATGAATAAGAAAAGTGAGGCGGTCGATTTATGGTTGGTTGAAATCAGATTCTAGTGGCGGTCAAAAAGATGCTTATAATACAAGCATGTTCCAGCCATTATTGAAACATGACATAACGACAGCTTGAACAAGCACAAACCAATACAAACATTCAACCTCTCACTCCTTTTCCTTTTTTCTCAAACTATTCAACTCTTATTTAACTCCACCTCTAACTATTGCCAATATGGCAACTCTCAATACATCCACGAATGGCCCTTCTATTAAATCATCATATACTGGAGTGGTCAATTCTGCTGCACCTTCCGGAGCTGCGGCGTCCAGCCCGACTTATGGACAGTGGGCTTTGTTCTCCGTATCAGCTCCTCTTGTAAATGCTTTTCAACAAGATAGTGGTGGAAAGGAGAGTGTGCTAAAGGTACAAAGCACCGGAGGTACGTTCGCATTGTTGTTGATGAATCCAAGCAAATCGTCTAATGGTTTGAAATCCAGAGGGAGAACTTATCGACTTAATTGAGGATTTCTCGGAAGGACGAGTTCAATTCGCATTCGTTAAAGTCAAAGATCCTAATACCACACTTCCGAAATACGTACTTATTGGATGGGTCAGTCATACAATTGAAAGGGTGTTGGAATAACAGGAGGTCCTAACATAACCTATAGTGCGGTGAAGGTGTTCCCGAAAGAACAAAAGGCTATTTCACAAGCCACCTTGCAGCAGTATCCAAGATTCTTCATGTTCGTACTCATCTATCTGATTATCTCGCATCTATTCATACTTATAAATTCATCTAGGGCTACCACGTTCAAATCACTGCTCGATCAGAATCCGACTTGGCACCAGAAAGTATTGTTCAAAAAGTAGCAGATGCATCAGGCGCGAAATATTCCTCGGGCTCAGCACCACCGCCTTCCTCTGGTCCTCGTCCCCCAACAGCTTCTAAGCCAGTTTTCACTCCTACACGGTCGGGCGGTGTGTCAGGTTTCAATCCATTGGCAGGTTCGAGATCAAGGACAAGTCAGAATGACAACGTAGACGGAGATGGATGGGGCGCAGATGCGCCACAAATCACCAGGACACAACTTGAAAAGGTCCAGCCCGCATATAAACCCACAAAAGTTAATATGGCAGAGCTTACCAAACAGCCAACCGCTTCAAGATCCAGCAATGGTAGTGGAGCAGACAGTGGATCTGCTCCCGATGTTGTCAAAGGAGGTTATCAGCCAATCGGGAAAGTGGACATTGCAGCACTGCGTGCTCAAGCTAAAAGCAGTGGTGACGACCGACCAACGATAGTTAAGGGAGCATACGAACCAGTCGGCAAAGTGGATATTGCTGCGATCCGAGCCAAAGCTCAGAAGCCTGGCGACGACGGCCCCAGGGCGGTTTCACCTGCCGCTACTGGCTCACCCGCCCCAAGCAGTGATGAACCACCCAAGTCTCTTGCAGATAGGTCTGCGGCTTTCACTCAATCAGAGCGTCTTACAACTCTACCAAAACCAAAGGTCGCGAACAAGTTTGGCTCCACCGCCAGCAGTTTCGCTGGAACGAAAGCCCCTACTCCAGGAAGTTTTGGAATTCAGTCACCCGCAGCCCCGGCAGCATCTGCTCCGATCGGTGCAGCCAGTAGAACATTTGCTGACGAGGGTGGTAAAACTCCTGCTCAAATCTGGGCAGAGAAGAAAGCTCGACAAAGAGGACTTAGTGCTGCTGGCGATGCTCCTCCCCAGAGCGTCGCATCGCCCATTGTAAGCCAGACAAGTGGAGGAGGACAATGGAAGAGTGGATATACTGGCAAATCTTGGGCTCCTGTTGCTACTAATCCCACTGGACAATCTGCTACTGGCAGCATCGACCAACAGAAAACCGGCGAAGCAGAAGTGGAGCAAGTAGTACCAGATTCTCCAGCTGGAGGTATCAATGCCATCCGGGACCGATTTAAGGGAGGACAAGCACCAATGGGCGCACCAGCTATGCCACGATCAATTACTGGAGACCGAGACCAATCTCCACCACCTCCCCCTATCAACGCCTCCAGCAGGCCTGGTGCAGTTCCAATGCCTGGACTTCCAACTCGTCCTCCACCTGTTGAGTCCGAGGAAGAGGAATACAGCAGACCAAATATTCCCGCACCTCCCCCAGTTCCCCGCAGTCCTACACCAGAACCAGAAGAGGAACCAGAGCGCGAGTCATCTCCCGTTCGTATTGCTATGCCAGTCGCACGTGGACGAGAGCCTGAGGAAATGGAAGCGCCGGAGGAACTCCATGATCATCCAACTCTTGAGCAGGCCATCGAGCACGTTCCCCAAGAGAAAGATCTCACCGAGGAACCTGCTGGATATGACCCTGCCCGTGGCGCCGCAACAGCTGTGGCAGCTGAAACATTTGGACACAGCGCTCCTGCCGTCAATGAAACATCTGCTGCTAGCGGTAAACGCGCATTGATTCAATACGACTACGAGAAGGCTGAAGATAATGAGTTGGAATTGGTTGAAGGCGAATACGTCACCAACATTGAAATGGTCGATGATGATTGGTGGATGGGCACCAATTCAAAGGGCGAAAGTGGTCTCTTCCCAAGCAACTATGTAGAGCTCGTCGAAGATGAAGAAGAGTCGGCTCCAGCTCCAGCTCCAGCCCCAAGCCATTACGATGAGCCAGAACCACCTGCACCTGCCCGCGCTCCTGCTCCAGCTGCTCCAGCTGCCGCACCTGCCCACGCTGCTGGTCCCACGGCTACTACACTTTACGACTATGAGGCCGCCGAGGATAATGAATTGAGTTTCCCAGAAGGTGCTACGATTACTGATTTGGTATGTTTCGCTTATATGTTCACATCATTCGCTCCCCTTTTCTTCCTTATCATATTCAAAAACGATTACTAACCCAGTCAACAGGAATTCCCGGATGATGACTGGTGGTTCGGTCACTTTAAGGGACACTCTGGTCTCTTCCCAGCAAACTATGTAGAACTTGACCAATAAGTATCTACGTAGGTTGGAATAAATTTAAGCGAAGCGCGAATACATATGAAGCGATTGACGTCTTTGGGAGGGGCAGTTGTGATGTAGTTGAAATCGATTCAACATTATAAAAATCCAGGAGATTTTGTAGATGAGGGTGGCATGAATGGTTTTTCTAGGCAGTTAACTACAACTAGTGAAGAAAAAGAAAAGCGAAATAACGGTTGTCTTGGTCTCTATAAAATATAAGAAGAGAAGTGAAAATCCTTTCCTCGATGTTGCAGTCGTGAATTCCAATGTACATACATACTCATTTGTCTTTGTCTCTCGGCAAAGTGGTCAAGTATTCTTCGTTTACCAATCTATTTAAAGCTTTAGGAGGAATTCTGGCTGCTGCAATCTTGAATATCTATACTTGCGGAGTTCGAATGTCTCAAATCCTTTCAGGTATTCGCCCTCCACGGTGGCATTCACGTTGTACTATCCATAAGCAGCAAAGCACGAAAATGGAATTATTCAAATCATATATATTCAGACATCACAAAAACCCAGGCAATAGCGCATAAATTATTAAATAAAAGTCATTCATTATCTTATCTTAACCAACCAACCAACCCTTAAAAACTAGCTGGAAGCAGAAAGCCTGTGGTCCATTTGAAAAGAGACGCAGACCTGTAAGAACATGAAAAAAGGGGATATGTGAGAGGAAGGGAAACTGCGTGGGAAAGCCGAATTTGTTACTTCAATCATATGAATCTATGAACAAGGTGATTTGATTGTGGAAAACGAGTTGGGACTTTAGAGGGCGTTGTATCGTTGCTGGCTTGCGGGAAGGGAAAACATTATAGGCAAGTATAAGGCCGTCGATCTGTTCGATTGAATCGCGATACTGGAGATGGAGATGTGCTGAGGCGCCAGTGGATTAGGCAATTTCGAGATGGCGTTTATATGGATGAATAGTAGCGGAGAATGCGTGGGTTTGGCAGCGATTTGCTCTAACAACATTCGGCACCTGTGGGAGAGGAGTTAGTGGATTGTTGTTTGATTGTGACGAGGTGAGTAAGAGGAGAAGGGTACGGGGAATAACCTACATTCAACACAGAGCTCACATCCTTCTTCCATTACGCAACAACAACAGAGAGCTGCGAAACAAGCACCGAGACAACCTTGTCCACCACCGGAACTCTTTGGAGGAGGTTGTTGTTGATATTGCATTTGTTGCTAAAGAGATAATTATTAGTTCAAGGTACCTTTGGATGTGAGGTACATTGCATTGTATCATGCGACGGTGAAGCTATCTCGGTATTTCTCGGCATTGCGACGGCGCTGAGGTATCGAGGAATCACAGCCATCGTAGTATACAGAACAGTGTGTTGAATAGAGGGTATGCGAGTGTACTCACAGGTGGAGGGCCTTGTTGATAGTAGCCTTGTTGTGGTGGTGGTCCTCCATAAGCCTATGTATCACACCGGGGTCAGCTTCTTCTTCTACTTCTTCTTCTACTTCTTCTTCTACTTCTTCTTCTACTTCTTCTTCTACTTCTTCTTCTTCTTCCATTCCATGTGCCAAGATTATCCAAGAGATCGCAGGAAAATCGCAAGGAGATCGATATGATAGTGATAACAGAGGCGTAAACATACGTTGGGAGGATATTGAGGTTGACCACCATATTGTGGTTGTTGATTGTTGTAGTAACCTTGGTTCGACATTGTGTTGATCTATAACGAGGAGGACGGAGACTCTGGTCAGTATTTGTTTTGTAAACGGTGAAGCTGTAACGGAAAAAATGCGCAAACTTACGGAGAGGTGAGTGATGCGATTGATTGATAAAAAAAAGTAATATAAGTAAACGTTGCGAGTGAAAAAGTTGACGTTGAGAAAGAAGAGAGGCCAAACTTCAAAGTTAGATTAGATTGGATTCATCAATAAGAGCTAAAAATCGGTAGAACGGAGGAAGGATGTTCGTTCGAGACACTGCCAAGGAGGAACCAATTGGGTTTTACTCGCTATAAAAATGCCTAGTACCTAATCGCTGACGAGTGATAATATATCGAAATAGAAACATTAATACTACTTCGTACTAATTATTATACTAACCTATTAATTACGCCAAGTTATTTGGAATTTCTTTATTTTGCTGAGGATGTGAATACATACACCGCAGTCTCTTTTTCCCCGTCTCTCTCTTTTGCTCTTATTAAGCTTTGAGGCTTTTGATGCCTTGGATGCTTTTGATGCCTGTGAAGTTTAATAATCTGCCCAGGTGGTTTTGGATCCAAAAAAGAGTTAGGTCGAGTCAACGGTCTCATTCAAAAAGGATGGCCCGGTATACGATTTATACGGAGGTGCAAGTCTTCAAAGTACAGCCAGTACCTTACATTTGTATCATACAGTAGGGTACTAGGAGGTAATCATCTCGCAGTTTGAAGTCATGCAAGTCCTTCTTTTGTGATTGGCTCGACCGGTTCAATATGCAGCATGCAAATAGAAAGAAGGCGCAGATCAAACACCTCATCAGCATCCATGGCTCAGCAATTTGGGCCCTTTTCTTTGGTACAATCCAGTTACCATCTGATGCGCCAACCCGGAACACGGCCATTGTTCCATGCAACTTCTGAAAGAGATTTGCTATGTAATAGGTACTATGAACAGCGATCGTTCAGCTTCCCCTGCTTCCCCTGCTTCCCCTGCTTCCCCTGCTTCCCCTGCTTCCCCTGCTTCCCCTGCTTCCAATTCCCCCAATCTAATCCTTATAGGGCGTGAGTGGTCCTAGTATCCACGCTTAACACGCTACCTCAGCCACCTTTCCCCCCGATCGTCACCTTCTCAAGGCTCAAGAGTTCCATTACATTATCGTTGCTGCTGGTTTTACTTCGTTTCCATCATCCGACCTTGTGACCCAGACTGATACTGCAGAATAATCCTTGATACAAGCCCTGACTCATTAAAAGCAGCAACGACTTTTAGTATTCTCAGCCACTTTGACCATCCCCTTGTATCCGTCACATATCCGACTTGGCTTCAAGATGTCACTCCAGCTGCTAGGTTACCAGCAGCGTCGCATTCTCCCCCTTATCTATACAACACGTTTGCTGCGTGGCCTTTTAAGTTTGTGCTTCTCCAATTGCATGTTATAGTGATAATTCGTCCTCCAATATACGCAGGTATGTAGTGGAGCAGCAGTGACCTGGGGAAACCGAACATTAATTCTGCAATCGCTGAAAACCGATGCGTTTTGCGCTATCCATTGGAGGTCTGGTCCAATATTGATCGTCCCGGGGTAGTCCTAGTCCAACACTATCACAAAAAGTATCAATATCTCGAGAAACGAAGAAGAGCCGCAGTATACTATGTTGATGACATCCTGCTCTACGACTATCGTTGCAGTGAAGATACCATGGACTACCGAGTGCTCAGAGAGTGGTTCATTCTCTGAGATCGAACAAGAACTTTGAGGGGCACCAGTCGCTTTCATAATAGTCGAAGTGAAAGAGCAGGACACCCTAGAGACTTCCAGACCGTGGTATATGAACCAAATTCCCTCTCAATCTTCCACATACGACCATAGATTGAGAAAATTAGGGCATCCCGTCCGCTCTGCCATACTCAAGACTCAAATCGGTAAATTAGTAGTTGAGTGGGTGACCATCAGCGAATCCTTACTGTTGTATGTTTTTAACTTTTGCCTTTTGTTGTGTTGGTGGGTGACGATGTCCAAGTGGGCCACGGTTTTTGCGATACCCATTTCATGTGCAGAGCCACGTTTGTCAAAAGCTGGCTCTATTCTTCTTTTCAAGGCCTTCAGATTTATGCATTCGTTGAGCATTGGAAGTTCATATCTATACCACGACGACTGTTAGCAGTGTTATATGTCGGAAAATATTCTTCTACATCTTCGATTTTCCTGTCCACTAAAGGCATTCAAGCGAATGTCCGTTTCTTCCTCCATTAAGCAGAGTCAATCTTGTGGTCCAGCCCAACTGGTCATTCATTATCATTACAAGTGGATTTCTTTTCATGAATATCACGGACTACGATCGGTGCCTTGTCTATGCTACATACGGTGAGCTGGAATCAGTATGTCACTGGCCCTCATAACGACAAGTCAAAGCTATGCCACTCGAAATATCGAAAACAGTACAGTTTTTATTATGTCCAGACACATGAGTTTGGGAAAAATTTGTCTGGGGATTGCTAAGACTCGAATTGAGATCATTCGCTGGAAATTTGAGCATTGGAGAAAGGAAAGGTCCGCTGGTTTCATGAGTGTACGAAAGAGAAATTGTAAGTTGGCCTCAGGTGCGGGAAGTCTTTCGGAAGTCAGAACGAATGGACAATACAAAGAGAATGAGAGGGCGATCACAGAGATAAAATCGATTCGAAAAGTTCGGGAGACGGCACATAGCCGTTGGAACTCGGAGCAAGGAAAGACAAAATTGAAAAGACTTTGGCCCGGATTACATCCTCATCATCATCAATATGGGAATAAGGATTTAGAAAGACGGTCTCAGAGCTAGCTTCGAGTGCGTATACTAAGTAGATTAACTTTGAAATCGGTTGGACCAAGGCATGGAATCAAGGAATGTGTTGTGAGGACCTCCCATCATAGAAATGAGGCTTATGATGTCTGCCTTGACATAGTTGGCGTATCCTCCAAGATTAGCTCAAATCTGAGTGTGAATAGTTCAAAATCTCGAAACCAAGATCAGCATAAAGTAGTATAAAGACTAGAGACTTTATACGTAAGTGAAATTGATATAGGTTTGTTCATGTAATGTCGGAGAAAGGCCAGGTGATGATCACCTTGACTCGAGCTTGAGTTTAGGAACGTTAATATCCATCGCGGGAATAACCCTCACCGGGAGAAATTTCCAAAATCAAAAGTCCATCGGGTACCACCACGGACAAAGCTCGTTGGGAGCATGACACACAAATTCGGCTTGTAAAAGGCTCTTATGCTAGATCTGATATTTTCTATGTTGCTCCTAAAAATTATATTCCCATATGCACCATGTGAAATTACAAGGACGGAATATATTTTTGCCATAGCAGCAGCTCCGATAACAGACCAATTATGTTGGATTATTAATCAGTTTTGTAATTGACCCTTTCCTATGGAACGATTGAGAAAATTGTCGCTTGGGATGACGCGATGAGGCTAGCCATCTTGATAGCGATTAGAAAATATATCTCCGGCCTCGCAACTTCACTCTCACATCAACCAGAACTTTTTCAACTAAATCTGCGTCTGTACACTATTGATTCGACTAACATTTCGATACCAACCTACTTTCCAAAAAATACACAAGAGCAACTCTACACGCTCCTCAATTTTATCAAACAAAGCCACGAAACTACCCCCCACCAGCAACATCCACCCCACTACAGACAGAGAAAAGTATTAAGATGTCAACTCTTATCGATATTACAACAGAAGAAGAATGGCAGAAGCACACTGAATCTCTGCCATCATCGACTCTGCAGATCATCAACTTTCATGTACGTCTCTTCATCTACTACCCCTCATCCGCCCTCCTCAAACCTTGACTAATGCGACAAACACTAGGCACCATGGGCAGCACCATGCGCGCAAATGTAAGACTCCCCCGGATTCATCGTCATCAATCTCTCTCTACTACTTTAGCTTCGCTCCAGTTTCCCCAGTTGCCCACATCATCAGACAAGCATCCTAATTCTTTCACTAGGACAACCGTTCTCCGTACCCTCGCGCTATCCTACCCCCCAACTACACCCCCAACCACCTCATGGGTTTCCATGAATGCCGAAGAAGTAATTTCCGTCTCCGATGCCTTCGACGTCACTGCAGTTCCCTATCTCGTCCTCACCCGCAACAATGTAGTCCTCGAGACCGTCTCCGGCAGCGACGCCACCAAAGTCCGCAACGCCATTGAAAAACACGCCAACTCTCCCTCCACCTCCACAAACGGTACATCTGCCAAGCCTGTCCCCAGTATAAACCATGCTTCTACTACACCATCAACCACCGCACCTACCACATCTACCGAATCCGAAGAACCAATGTCTAAAGAAGATCTCCACGCTCGCTTATCCAATCTGGTAAAGGCGGCTCCGGTAATGTTGTTCATGAAAGGAACACCTTCTGCACCCCAATGCGGTTTCTCCCGTCAACTCGTCGCTTTACTGAGAGAGAAGTCGGTGAAATATGGATTCTTTAATATTTTGGCCGATGATGAGGTAAGGCAGGGTCTTAAGGAATTTGCGGATTGGCCTACTTTCCCACAATTGTGGATGGATGGAGAACTTGTTGGAGGTCTAGATATTGTAAGTTCTAATTTAATTTAATTTTGAGAGCAATATGTCCCGGGATCCATATTGCGAGATACCCAGCCTACACATTGATGGAACATATTTCTAATCAAATATATTATAGGTCAAGGAAGAAGCAGCAAATGATCCGGATTTGTTTGCTGCATACAGTGTCGCTAAACCGGCAGCAGCGGCGTAGAGAAGGAAAAGGTTGGGAATTAGATAATATCGGACACTAGGAAAAACCAGGAGATATACCCTATTAAAGACACTTTTTTGCGCAGGATTTCATGAATTTGCTACACTATGATCTGCTTAATGTAAAAACTCAATCTTATAACTTGTGATTGCGAAAAGATATTAGTGTATATTGGACAAAAGAAGTTGATAAACGAACAACTCATAATCCTTCCCAGTGGAATGCATCGTCAACTCTTGGCAAGCTTCAAAGTGAAGCTTAGCTTAATCATCTCTCGCATGTTTTTTCCTTCATTTGCACAAGGACAAGATACTTTAATGCCAAGATTCCCAAAGAAAGGTCCAAAAAGGTTTCAAAGTATATCAAGATCACATCACATCAAATCACCAGAGCAGCAAAAGACAGTAGTTTTTGGGTTTTCTCATCTATTCTACTTCATTTTTTTGACACCAATCGAGTGGCCGAATCAAAGAAATTCTCAAAGCCTCAAGAACCTCTCACCCAACATCCTAGATCGACAATTATTATACATTATATACCCAACCTGGTCTAATCCACCGTTCTCCATACGCCCCCGTGAAAATATCAATAACTTAACTTAGCCAGCAAACTTTTTTCCAACCATTTTTTTTAATCCTCCGTATGTAGCGCGAAAAGGGTTGCGAAATCTAAGTGTACTCCGACCTTTTTCCCCCATTGCGCGTGGCACCGAAAGAATTGCGAAATGAATGAAATGAAATAGTAGAATGAAATAATAAAATCAAGTGGCAGAGTCAAGTGGCAGAATTGATGTGTGATTATGAAGGTTCGAGATAATGCAACAAAGCAGTTTTACCAGTAGTAAATCCATCGCCCTTAATTCACACCATCGGCCCCTCGACGCGGCGGTTTAATAGTTGTATCCATCAGGGATCTCCAACTGTCCTTGATACTTGGAATCCTCATCCTGTCCTCCCCAGTACTCTTTGATGGCAGGCAAGACAGTTCGATTGTTAACTACCAACTTGGTGTTTGGAACGGGCTGGGGTGCCCATCCGACTGACGCGGCGAGGAAACCAGGATAACTGTGGTTGAAGAAGCGGTTCTCGAGGAGACCGTCAGCCCAGCTGCGGATCGTGTCGCCGGTCTTCTCAGCAACGAACTTGAAGACATTGGCGCCGACGTCATAGCGGCCGAGAGTGTGGAGTCCCCAGTTGGCTTCGATGGTGGAGATTTGAGAGTAATGGTTGTAGTAGGTGTCGTCGGTGGTGTTGTGAAGGTGCTTTGGCACGGCGTCACCGAGGAGGATGGTAAGAACACGGTTTTGACGGGAGTAGACCTCGTTTTCATCGAAGGTGATGACGACGAGAGTGTTGTTCATGAAGTGAGGATCGGTGAGGAGGGGGTTAAGGAGGTTGTAGAGATACTCGCCTGCAACGGTGACGGAGCTATCGTGAGCGTCAGAGGTCATGTTTGGGGTAAAGAAGATCCATTGGGGCAGTGTGTTTGCAGCAACATCTTGGTGGAACAAGGTCTGGTTCTTGATCAAGTGAAGACGTTCAGGCTTGTCAACGACATTGTTGAAGAGAACTTCAGGGCTGGATGATTGTTAGTACGTTAAAGGGTTTCGGTGAGTTCATTGAACTTACTTGTGCTTGCGAACATATGCATCGGCACCGGTAATTTCGTTGCGCCACTCCATACCTTGGAAACCAGTGTATGGCATATCTTCCTGGTATAAACCCCAAGTGATTCCCTTGTCTTCGAGGAGATCAACTACAGAGGAAACGTTGGCAGGAACAACAGTAAACGGATCACCATCGAGACCGAAAAAATCACTGCATCAATGTAAGTTATTGTGAGCGGATGAGCTCTTATAAAATTCAAACTCACCCTCCAACGGATGCGAGGTAATTTGGTTCACTTGGATGTGTTACCCCCAAATAGTTTGTCAATGTAATACCCATCTCTGAGAAATATTTGAAGTGTGCTGTATAGATATCAGTATATATGTCATTATTTCTCTTCGGGGAAAGGGCAATTTACGGTCTGCAAAAGCAGTCTCGAAGTCAGTATTCTCAAACCAGATGTAGAAAATTCGATCGAACACATCTCCCTTGATGTGACTGGTAGGACTTCTGTGTTTTGCCTTCTGTTGAGCATGGAGAACAGCTTTATGGCCGAAGGCTGTCGGGTGAGAAATGTGGCCATCAGCAATAGTGTTGGAAAGCTCGTCAATTCTCTTGGAGATTGCAGCTGTGATTGTCGGTACGCAGACCACCATACCAACTGTAGCGACTTTGAAGAGAGTGCTGAAATGCATCTTGGCGGCTTTGGATTGTTCTGGGTCTGAGATCAAAACAAAATGGGGGATTGTGAGATCTTTTATGCTTGAATACTGACAACTGAAAGTACTAAACCAAGGCTAAACTTCCCATGAGATATCTAAACATCACGCAATGGAACTATCGAAGTTTTCAAGCTAATTACCAAATCCAAGATGTTGGAAATGAACCAACACTATGTATATAACTAGCACCTTGGTAGATCGCAACTAGTGAATCAACCATCTCGGACAAACGGTAAATTAAAGAGGAAGGACGGTAACGCCATATCTGCGGTGTAAAAAGAGCTATAGCTTCACATCCCGTTAGAAAACTTTCAACCTATGAGATTCCAGATGTTGGTAAGTTAAGATGATATTGGACGGAAGTCATATGTTGAAGCATCTTTTTGACCTGCCTTATCAAGAATTGAGCATATCCGATTTATCCAGTACTTTCATTCCTGGCCATAGAATACATGCACGAGCACGCAGACACTGCAGTTTGTAGGGTGACAAGGATGGCATTGTGCCGCGATCTCTTGGAAGAGCGGGGAGGGGCGATATTTTCGACCCTTCGCACTTGTTAGTCGTTATGCGGAGTATCGACTGGCACTTTGCAGTGGATGGTCGTACCAAAAGGACCCATGTTAAACAAGATTTGCTTGGGGGTAGAGAAGTAGCCAACCATTACTCTTCAATTGATAATAAAAACCACACATGATGTA